ACGCAGCCGAGCGTGTCCAGGCACTACAATAAGCTAGCTACACTTACCGAAGTCGGACTTGACCCTTGTTAGCTTTGGGGGAAGACTGTCTTTTTATTACTGAGTTTGTGAGGCTCTGGGAGCCTCGTTCTGGTCATCCTTTGACTAGTCCAATGTCTCTATACAAATATGAAGTGTGAACGATCGCAACGGGGCGATCCCGGACACATCAAATGACGACCGCGGCCACACTAATAAGTGCGGTCGAAGTACGCAACTAAATGCATCTGTACCTAAAAGTGGGTACCACGAAGCCTCTTGTATTAGGACCCGACGAGGCTCCGGCCACTATCTGTCACTTCAACGATAATCATGTCATCCGCCGGTCAAAAGCCGTCGTCTTCGTCTCTCGCTTGACCGCTCTTGATTGCCCTCGACTGTGGTTGATTCTCGGGACGGCGGGGCAATCACGTCGAAAATCTTCAATTTCCGATACCACAACAAAGAATAACAACTCTAGTACAGGAGAAAACATCACAGCAGCAGTAAAGGGTAACTCAAATCGGGGTATGAACATCGGCAACTTTATCCTTAACCGCCCGGGCAGGTAAGACTAATTTTGAACTTGAAGTTGTCAGACTATTTATGAATTCTAAAATTGAGCTACCACAATAAATAGGCTGACTCAGACTATTAACGAACTCAAACTATTTTTGAACTCAGACTAATTACCGTGAACACTGTACCGGAGCATTTCATGCCCCAAAATGGTTGCTGGAACGCGACCATCGGGTATAGCGGAGTTCAGTCACTTGTTTAATCACGTTGCTAGCTAAGAGTCGTACTAGAATTGTTTGATTAGATCAAAAAGTGGCTTCGAAGCCGTTGTCAATGGGATTGTCAAACGAATTCGCCGTAATTAACAGTGGCCGACAGCATCGAGGACCCAAAAATGACCTCACCCAAATTATACATATTTGAAATCAGCGTGCAAAACCTGAAAAAAGTAAGACTCAATTGCAGCTGTGCGATACGTAGAACACATAAAAACCTCATAGAAAGAAATTCCAATATAATACTGAGCTCAGTATGTAATCACGATTAACCGTCGCCACTAATATTATTATCGTATAGGATTTGACACCTTATAAAAATATGAGGTGCCAATCCAATGCGCTGATTGGCTGAAAAACTTGTATGGTTTAGGTCAATTCTTTTTAGGACGATTTTGATCCGTCCTTTTCTCGTTGTTTTATGCTGTGTTTAGCATAGATGCAGTTTACCGAGGTGAAGCGACTGGTCCTATTTTTATCAAAATTGACCAAATATTGATGAAGTTACGAAGTTATGGGTCCTCGGTGCTGTCGACCACTGTAAACACTTGAGCGGATAACCTCAATGCAGACGTGGTGTGGCGTACACAAATTGACCGGGATGATGACCCCAACGTCTAGTCCACTGTTTACCTTGGCGCTGCAACGTCAACCAGCAGCACTCACAATGCCCCTACACTGATGGGGCCTGGCAATATGTACGGTACTGTCATGCAATACAAGGGGAAGTGAAGTGAGCGGAGAGGGGCCACTCAGCCGACTGTATTGAGCATTTGTGCACGTGTCTGTGAGCCAAAAATGTTATACACGAGCTGTGGTTTTTTGTCGTGCGCTAATTTATATGATCGCACCAACAACAGTTACTAAGCCCGAAGGCTCTGTGGCATTGGAAAGTGCGCCAGCCCTTGAGTCGAGTTCAATCAAGGGTAATCAAGGAGCGGTCAAGCGAGAGACGGAGATGGCTGGTTTTGATTGGCTGGTGAAATTATACTCGGTAGAGTAGCAGATAGTGGCCGGGGCCTCGTCGGGTCTTAACACAACCCTGGTACCCACTTGTAGGGCTGTTCTTAAGTTCCCGCTCCCAGCTTCCGCGAGAAAATTGAGATATGTGATTGGCTTAGAGCACCCGACTTTAGGACTCGTGTTCTCCCGCTCCCGCATTTTTTTCGCGTTGTTGGGAGTTGGGAAATTAGCCGTAGCACCTTCATTTCTTCACAAGGAGCACCAAATTTGCATGACTTCGTTCTGCTATGTCTGCCCTATCTAAATATGTATTCTTTTTCGTTCTATTACGTCGTCGTTGTGGAGAACGAGAAGTTTTAAAATGTCATCTCACGGACGAGTTTGGTCGAAAAGGGAGCGGCAACTTAAGAACGGCCCTTAGGTACAGATGCATTTAGTTGCATCCCACTTGGCGACTTGGCCTAGAATTTGACTGCAGTCGTCAGCGCTTGGTCATCAGTAAGTGCACAGCTCTCCACCGCTATAGAAGCGTTAACTCCTCAGAACATTCGGACAATTGTGCACTGCATATATCTACTTTATGGCACAATTGTCCCCCACCCTCCCCTGCGGGAAATAACGACATTTTGCTCGAAGAGTACACTACGTGATCACTTCCCGGTGAAGCCGAAGGGGTGTCCACGATGATTCGCCAAGGAACAGTGTGCTGGCATGTTTTGTATACCGCTTCTGTAGAGACAGTACATTGACTTCGGCTTTTCTTGTCGGATTGGAAAACCCTTCCAATGAATGCTATTGCAGCTTGTTCAGTAGTGTGCTGGCTGTGTTAGGAAATGCTACCCCTTTGGATAGTTTCAGAAAAAAGCGTGTTTCACAACATTAGATTATTTCACATAGATTTCACTGTGGTTCGTTCCGTCAAATCCAAGCTGAATACAGATGATCAACGCAGTGGCCGGACAGCAAGGAATACGGCGGGGAAGTGTCCCTCTCGTATAAGCTGGTCATTTTCCGCATACCTTGGCTTAAAAAGGCCAAAAACAAGCATATTCGTCAGCGGCAATGCAGCTGTCCAGTTTGCCCTTGATCGTCAGAAACGCTGCAGCATCGAGGTCGGAACCTCGCCATACGTATCCTTCACGTTGACCACGAGCTCGTACAGTGTGCTTGCGTCTTGAGCTGCTGGCGAGTCTGGATGGCGTTGAAGATGGAGACGTTGAGAACGCTCAGGTTGGGGCTGTTCGGGGGTTATAAGCGTAGCTCCACGTTACAGCCGCTCGCATACACTGCATCCTACAGTGCAACGTCGTCAGGTACATAGGTACATTGTGAGTATGTGTGTGTGTGGGGGGGAGGCTCCGGACAGCGTAATCTTGATCACCGGTAGCCCCGCTGCATTGACATGTCGCGGTGCGTGCTTTGTTGACTGGCTGCCCCTTTGGTATCAGTGTGCCTGCCGATTTGTAGCGACCGCTACGTTGAGCTGGTCCATGGTTCAAAGGGACCACAGACCAAGCTTGTCGTCGAAAAACTCGCCCGTTCCTGGGACCCAACGAGGTCTGGCAACTGCAGCCTTCGGAATGTGCCTCTTACTACTACGGATGCGACCGGTGAGCGTGTGCTCATCAGGCAATCGCCTCTTCACGGTGGTCATGTAGAACAGTTCATGGATAATATATCCCATGTCGTCGAAAAGCATGGTTGATGGGTCAATGTGCTGCGCACGAAACTCCATGCGCTGAAGCTTGTTGATGTCGGTCAGGAGCGGCTTGACGATGCTCGTACCGATGCGGAGATCGCGAATCTTCGGCTCTCGGAAGAGCGTCGTCAAGGAGAGGTCGCACGCCGTCGCCGTGCGGTAGTGTGTTGCGGCGCTGGGGATACATAGCTGGCAGCCGAGCCTGCAGTCCACCAGGATTGGCCTTCTTCTGTTGTGCTTGCGAGGCGGATACGCGAACACACTAGTGGTCTTGAAGTGCTCAGTTGCGTGGCGAAGCGGCTCCGCGACATTTGCAGGTCGCGGGATTTCTCTTGTACACCGCTCCCTAACTGCCGGCTAATGGAGGAGGTATTCTAATTTCCGTAAAATTGCTGCTTCTCACCTTGGGTACCCGTCGGTGGGCCAAGTTCACGAACCTTTTCAAAAAATCGACAGCTGTGAGGTTTGAACTCACGCGGGTTACCCCAATGGATTTCAAGTCCATCGCCTTAACCACTCGGCCAAGCTGTCACACATTGACGTATATATGATTATATATTTTTTAATTATATACCACTTAATGCACTCAAGCTACTTACCAATTGGGCCGGGTACTCAAATAACTGCTTGGCAAAGCCGCAAGGGCTCGAAATAGATACTTTGGTTATTCATGATATAACTTTTTCCTACGAAGCAGCGATTTCTGTCAGGGCTGTTGAAGAAGGCTGATTACCGCATAATTGTAGTTCTAAGCGTCGCTTAGTTCTAAAGGTCACTAACTATTTGACCAATGACACTCGTTGAAAACAACATATGATTTTTATAGCCAGCTCCTATTTTTAAGTTATGGGTCTGCTAAATCGCCAGTTCGGAAGAGACGCGAAGCAGTTCACATGACTCGGTCCTGCATCAATGGAAGAGGTAGAAAGTGACGAACGTACGAGCGAGTCCCGGTCGATTATTCACACAAGCGCAAGGTAATTAACTACATTGAGAAAGGTAACGACCTCGATGGGACCATTGCTTTCTTCTATGGAGACGTGGCAGACAAACGACTGCGCGCCAAAAAGAAGCAGATAAACAAGTGGCTGAAGCAAGCGGGTCATATTTGCGCCGTGTGCAAAAGCGGCCGTGCGAGCCATCTCAACGTCCGTGAACTAGTTCAAGGCACCGTTCTTCCGGCCGCGGCTGAAACCGAACTGGTTATGTGAGTAAATACCCTTCGGAAGGACGGTGCACCTGTTTCTCGGCTCATGCTAGAACTCCAAGCGAAGGAAATCGCAGCGGACTGCGCATTAGGTGACAAATTTGGGGCTTCGGATACCTGGTGCAAGTTTTTTCTACGTCGGCACAAACTGTCACTTCGGACGCGAACCCGTCAAGGCCAGACTACGCCAGACGAAGCGCAATAAGCCCTGCAAGCATTCCGTGCACTCGTTCGCACAACGATCGTTGAAAACCGCTGTGTAAATGTGTATAACGCCGATCAGACAGGTAACAAAGGTTTTGTATGAATTGTTTTCGTTATGCTTACTGACGATATTGTAGCTGTTTTTTTCGAGTTATTGCCGAAGCAGACAATAACGACTCGCGGCGTCAAGACAGTCTGGGTGAAATGCGCCAGCAAGGACAAAACAAGAGCCACTGCGATGCTACTTGCCGACTGGGAAGGAAATAAGACCCCTCCTTTTTTGTTGTTTAAAAGCACACCTGCCAAGACAGATCCGAAAAAGGAAGCCAACAAAAATCTGCGAAATGGATTCGGTGTCACCGTGTGGAAAGAAGTTCGCGCGCTGCGAGAGGAGAATGAGTGCCAGATATACGGTAACAAGGCCGCGTGGTGGAACCATGAATTGTCCCTGAAGTTTCTGGAGTACAATTTCGCTGGTCGAGAAAACCCAGATGAGAACGTCCTTCTACTCTGGGATGATTTTGGTGGCCATTGGACGGCCGATAGCCTGGAGTATGCAGCCTCTCTGAGCGTCATCTTGCTGAAAGTGCCACCGAAGTACACATACGCCTGCCAACCGGCAGACGTATCCTGGAACAAACCGTTTAAAACGGCTTTGCGAAAGCGTTGGGTCGACAGACTTCGAGACGAACTCGTCAAATATCGCGCAGATGAAAAGCGAAGGGAGCAAAAACGAGAAGAGCTGGGGCAAAAGATCATGGTGGCTAGAAAGGAGCTCATTCAGGTGGAGGCGGATGAAGAAGTAGCCCGGCTGAGAGAAGAGTATAAAGAGGAGCCGTTTAAACTCACGGCTCCCAACCGAGTGGACATCACACAAAGGTTTGTGTCGTGCTGGAATGACCTGACTACTTAAACGATCATCGGTGGCTTCGCCCGAGTTGGCATCTTGAACGATACTCGCTCTTGCACCGATGGGCTTAAAAGTGATGAAATCGAGAACGGCATTGTCGAGGAGTTAGAGAAACGCCGTCTAGCCGGTGATGAAGTTTGCTCGGACGACGACATTTCAGATGGTAGTAGTAGCGACAGCGAAGTACGAGTAGGTAGTAGCTAAACTCGATCTGAAATTCATGATATTGCATCTAAACCCGATGATATTGTATCTAAAACCGAGGATATTACATCCAAAAACGATGATATCCAAAAACGTGATAATAACGATCAGAAGAATTCATACTAAAAACACGGAATAAAATTTAGTCTTCGGATTACTAAAATTGGATTCGAACATGTGTGATTATTGGAAGGATGTGCAACCAGTGCAGGTCGGGTGACCCTTAGGACTACGATTATACGGTAGTTGGATGACTGTTTTCATTTTAGCGAAACAGAGTATTTCAATTGAACATGGTCTTACAAAACCTGATGGTACAATCACAATCACAGCCCAACTGTCGTCGTATTGGAGCTCTTTACGTTCAGTATAGCAATGCAGGCCGTCGTAAGGCATTATTTGCATGATTATTACGGATTCATCCTAGCGAGAGTAATAACTCGATTTAATGTGTTTTATTGTGATCGGCACCCCGAATGTCTAATCGGATAGTAAATTGATCGAGGTTTTTCTGGCTAATTTAGACTTCAAAGTCTTATTTATTTTGTATTTTTGACTGATCTCCTAATTAGATTCGCCACCTCTATTTTAGACTAGAAATAATCATAGCGAATAGCAAGCAGGACCATCTGCTTAACCCGATTCGCAACAGATTTGTTTGTAAGTAAGGCGGAATGTCACCGTGGAAGTCGACATCCCGAGCTATTTGGTCTAAATAATTATAGCTCTGTAGGTGCCGATGTAAGCCATCAGCTTTGTAGCGTCCAATATGGAAGATGCCAAAGCATTTAGAGATAGTGCACTAGACTCGGCCGAAGTTTTATTGACATGGACGACTCAAAAGTCCGGGTTATATTGGCCCAAAGGCGTATCGGTAGCTCTTATCCGCCGACGCTAAATTAGACAGAGTCGAGTCTCGCCAGCTTATCCAAGCATGATTACACGTTCCTATTTGCTAACCATTTTCGCTTTGTAGCTAGTTTTATACCCTTATGTACGGGTATTCAAATCCGATTAATATAAATATGTTAGCTAAAAAGGCGTGGACATTCCAGTCGCGTTTCCCAATTTATGTGCGGTTATGTTTGCCCGGCGCATGTGTTAATTAGGAATAATCTGGTTGAAAACTATAAGTCCGTGTACGAGTTGAAATAGCATAGTTCGAGCTGTTTCGCTACAACCAACCATTTCGAGTGATCTGTTTTTACAGCTCCAGGCGAAATAGCAACTTCGTGGATAAAAGCTCTACCATGAATTTCAAAAGTACATGTAGCGATTTCGAGATACTTGCTAAAAATGAGGCATAAAACCTCAAAATGCCCAAAGGAGTTATTTTGTGCACTAAATGCGCATGATACAGCTATTGTGGGTTCTACTCAAAATTTCCGAACCGGCCGACTGCAATCGCCCGAGCCAAATCGCTCCCCAATCGCCCCGGCCACTTGGATTGTCTATTGGAACTCGATTAAGTACGATTAACATATGGCATTCTTGTTTGGAGCGGTTTCAATCTGTACTTGGATTTGTATTGGTCGATTTTCGAAATCGGTCCGATTTGGACATTTTCAACGGAATTGACAATATTAGTGTGCCATCTTGACCACGGCCTAAATAAATACTGAGGTGCGCTCTGAGCTTATTTTTGGTTGCTTGAGTGAGTGAGTTGAGAGTAAGGAGAGTTGGGTGATTCTGTTATTGAGAGGTGACGTGAGCGAAACAGTGAGGGATATTTTGTTTGAGTAAGTGAGTATATAAGTAAGTACGTTATTGAGTGAGAAAATGGGTGGGAGTATAAGCGGAAAACGACAGGAGGTGAGAGTGGGTGGGTGAATGGGTAGGCTTGAAAGAGTGAGTGAATGATGATTGAGTAACGTAAATGCCAGCCCGCTATCGCCTCTCATGATTTTGTGGTCACCACTAGACCTCTACCAATCCGGGAATAGTCAAGTTTCCCCGATTTTCAGAATATTTGGACTCATTTGAAGTGTAAAATATGGGATTCACTGCCCGCCGAGCTATTGTTTGTCTTCTACGAATCTAGAGTGCCACTGTTTGCAATGCAGGACACCTTCAAGGGCTACATCTGTTTAGCGACGTCCGCCGGTCCGTTTTCTCGCATTCAATAAGTGAGAAGTCGGACTCCACCGTGGCGTTGTTGGGGAATACGGTAGCTATACCTCCGCCGAAAAGCGCCAGTTTCGTGAACCTCGATGCAGCTTCTTCAAGCTGCCACATCTCGTGGAAGCTGGCTAGGCGGTGATCGAAGCCCTCAATCGCTGCGTGAATCGAATTGTTGCTGGTGCTCGTGCATATTTTCATCTACACCTGTGCATTTCACGTAGAAAAAGAACAGCACGTCTTTTTCTACGTGAAATGCACAGGTGTAGGTGAAAATATGCACAAAGAACGAGTAGTAATTGCAGAGAATGGTGGATTAGACTGATTATTTGATTGCTAACAGGAACCGCTCTCCCCATCATGCGTATGAGACAGTGCTACCCCTACTATGCCCCGGGTACTCTGATCAGATTAGACAGGATATAATACATGATTGTGCATAGTGGCTCGAAATGCAAGATGAATCTCGTCCGATATACCAGGGTATGTAAAAGAAGAGGTAAGCTGGAAAGAATGAGCACCGTAGACACTATATTTTGCTATGTAAGGGTTATATTGCGCATGTAAGTACTTATATGCACCCCTCAGAGAGAATGCAGCCTGGTGAGGTGGCCCAATCCAATAAAACCGAGCAGGACGTGCGCTTTAATAATGCTAAGACGCCATTAGCCCGCGGTTGGGAAGACGTGTCACTTGATTGCTAGCTAGGTACAGCAGGTTTTTTGTTTTCAAGGCATGCATAACCTGGTATGTTGGGATGCAATCATAGGATACTTCCAGCATAAACCCGCCCTTGTGTTTGATTTTTGTTCACCATCAATAAAAAGTACACTGCAAGTTGTAGTATATACACCCTGTTGAAATTTAGCTACCCATCCGAGGGCGTCTTAGACAACATGTGCGTCTGTCTGTGTCATTCAGTTTCCCGCAGGTTATAGAAATGTGTCGTACTTACGGAAGGCAATAGTTAGATCAAATACGCATACTTTTAACATGTAGTATACAGCTTTAACATGGTGTATATTGATCAAAGCCAGGGACCGAAAACCCCCGCGAGTGCGGGGGGGGGGGGGGTTAAACTCCTGGCTAATCTTGTTATCATCTTCCTCGCCAACGTATAGAAGAAGCCGGTCGTGGTGGCCTTCAATCGTTGCTGCGAGCTCCATCATCGTGCTCGTAACAAGTTATTTGGACGTCACCAGTGGCACATACCTATTCGTTTGCGTCAGAGTGTGAATTTGAGCCAGCACCAAGACGGTGTTCGTTTGCGCTGCCCCCAGTGATTTCAGGCTTGTGCGAACTCACAAGTCCAGATTGGTCACGCAAGTTATCGCAGCAGCGTGCGAAATTGCAAAGCTCCCGTTGATCTCATAGTATCACATACGAATTAAGCATGTTGTATAAGCTACAACTGTAATATGTTGATTATAGCTTATTGCCGTTTGCAGATATTTTGGCCAACGCATGCTTATTATCTCGTTAATAATCTCGATTTTAGTCTAGCAAGCTCTTAATTGAGACCTAGGTCTGATTTATATATCTCGCCAGTACAGGTCTAAGATGCAAGGTTGGGGTCTGTTTTACACTTTGCTACGACTTGGAAACGCAGAAATGCCATTCTAGACGGGCCAAACCGAGTTTCTAGGCCTTAAAGCGGCCCCCACCAAAGCATAAAGCTAAATCACCCCTCGCCTATCTCGTGTCCACTCATATTAAGAGACAGGCGTGGTCTATTTTAGAGGTCTATTTTAGAGGGCAAAGTATTTGCAAGCGGCAATATTTGTCGGGTATCATAATTGTTCTGATTAAACAAAAATATGTAAGTCGCTTCATATGATTAGTTGATGTAGGTGCATATTTTATGCGAGTGCAGACGAATTGCGGTGCACTAGTGGTTCCCAAATATTGCACCTTTTTCAGTAATCGACATTTCTATTTTCCGCCAAAATAAAAAATCTAGATTTGGCGGTCTTTTCGAAATTGTTGTAGTTTTTTTAACAAGGGGCTCGTGACTGAGCTGAAGGTTTCCTGGTAGGTCCGTCCTGACAAGGATTTTGCGCCAAAAGATTTAAGAATGCACTAGTATAACTATCATCGAGAACGGCGTCTAAAAGAATGACTAGAGCCTTTCGTACACCGACTCACTCTTTAGTTTTCGTGCTGGACATCCAGATCGTGGTACGTATGCTACTCGAGCTGCTGTTGCTACGGGCGGCGGTGCTCCCGTGCCAACGTCACCTCCGACGTCGGCTATGATACCCGGGGCGCTGGAGTACGTGCATAGCTGTGTATAACGTAGACACAAAATGAAGCGAAGTTAGTGCCAATGCTCAATGAACAGTGCTCAGGGACAGAAGTGCATGTACACCGTGATGCATTACAACAAAATGACCAACCCAAACTCAATGCACCATAATCCGGCACAATGAGGAGACTAAAATAAGGCATGCATGGCCAATGGGAGATGGCGAAGGTGCTAAACGAGATATGTCTCGACTTCAACGAGGCAAATGCTCGCAAGCTCAACGTGAATAATTTTGTCTAGTGTTGTTTGTTTTTAGTGAGCAATTTTTGTAGCATGATAGTTCATAGCGCAAAAATAGTTAGCAACCTGACCTACCCGGGTGACCCGTAAACCTTCAGCTGTATTACGAACCCCTTGTTGAAGATTACCAAGCACCCCAGGGGCTGAGCGAGAGTACTGCTCGCGGGAATGAGCACGAATAGCTGAAACCTCGTGAGCGCGCTTGCGGATCTGTAGCTGCTTACATCAAAGATGGGAGAAGCTTTTGCAGCTCTACGCTGTGATTTGATTTTTTTGTATTGTGAAAACCGTTCTTTTGCCTATTTTGGTCGTAAATCGATCGATTAGCACCCTGATTTAGCTGGATCGATTTGTAAATCGATCGCGTCCCTGCGATGCATATGTGAGTGGGTGTGGAGATTACACGATCGATTAATGTGAAACCAGTAGATATAGACGCGTTTGGAGCAGAATGTCCACCTTTTACTGGGTAATCGTGCAGCCTGGCGATGCATATGGATCAAAATCGATTTATACCCTGATTTGTACTCTGATTAATTTGGCAATTGAGATCTAATAAGAGGTTGCTACAGATGGGCGTTTTAGCCGGTTATTACAATAAGACTTAAAATGAGCGCCTAACTGTCAGTTAGACCCTTTCTTTACGCTGGTGGGGGTATCATCAGCCATTGGCTTAGTCGTTAGGTTTCTTAAATGACTGGAATGTACCTCACCGAAAACCAAACTGGTAGGGTATCATCGGCATCTGTAATTACTCTTGCCTAGGATCACAGTCATTATTTTGTTATTGGGCACCCCCGTCGAGCGTAAAGTTGACACAAAATCGAGCCATTTTAGCCTATCAGTTTTTCCTTAATAGAGCTGCTCGTTGGTGTCGTGATTATACGAGGGAGCAGGAGAGCCAAGCTCGCGATTTGAAGTGAGCTGAGTGTTTTTCGCTCGCTCGCGCCCCTGCTCGTGGGATGCTTGCGATTCTAACTGTCTTGGAAATATGCAACACAAAATCCAAAGTACACTAAAATATTGATAAACGTAACTTATCAAACTTTGGTTTTAGTAAATGCACGCCTGAAACTAACCAAATCAACCTCCAGGTTCATAGTTCAAACCAAACCAAAATTACCAGCAAATCGAGCGTTTTGAGTAACTTTAGAATAGTCTGCATGAATATTCAGATCAAAAAGAATGAAGTACTGAGTTGATTATGTCTTGAGTCGTATTCGGGACTGCTTGGTATTGTACTAGCCACCAGGATTGATACACCAGTTTTTCTTGTGGCTATAGCTGAGGATGTAGGGCAGCCACAAGAGTTTCTTTACAGCAAAAGAAGCGTCGTTCCATACGGATAATATATTCTCTACCATTAGGCTAGCTCATTTGGAATTTTGCCATCATGAAGCCAATCTCCACCCCCGAAAAGCAGTGATTCTCCGAACCCACCGCTATTTTCATGCTGAGGCTCAGCAAGAACTCGACGCGCCGTACACTGCGCGTTCACAAGTGTCTTGTCTTTGGTATGACCACCATCGCGTGCGTCCTCGCAGCCGAGAACAAGCTCAAACGCGGGGACACGACAGCGCCGCCCGCTGAGCCACCAGCTCGTCTGAGGGAGACCGTCGAAAAATACAGTAATTTAATCAAGCAAATCCTTACCGACCGAAATATTTCCGGCAAGACCGCCACGGCGCAGCACGTCGCCGACAAGGTACAAGGACTGACAGGTGATGGCGTCTCAGCACGCACTGTTCGGCGTGCGCTACGGACAATGGACTGCTCGTTCAAGGTTGGCGAGCGGCGCGACATCGGCGCCGACAACGTGGCCAACGTGATCTACCGGCGTATCCACCTGGAGCGCAAGCGCACCAACCTCAACAAGCGCACCAGCCTCAACAAGCGCACCAACCTCAACAAGCGCACTGCCATCCGAACTGAAGTCTTCCTAGACGAGTCTTACTGCAATCTCCACCACGTCGCCCAGCGGACGTGGCTTCTACCCAAGATTTGCCGCTCACTCCCATCCGGGAAAGGGCGGCGCTTCTGCATTACCGGCGCCGGCGCCATCACGCAAGTCGGTAAGCTTCGCACACGCGGTGAGTGGGTCAAAGGATCCGTCAAAGTGTGGACCGCTGATAAAGCTGCCATTACGTCCGCGGGTGACTACCACGGCGACTTTACCAGTGAAAAGTTTGAGCGGTGGTTTTGGCAGTTGTGTGAGACGCTGCCCGACGAGTACGGCGAGTGTGACATCATGATGGCATTATGATGGACGGCGCCAAGTATCACAAGCGTGACGCCGACCCCCCCCCCCCCCCTCAAGGGCCCACGTTAAGTGGCTTCTCCGCCAGAGGGGGGGGGGGGGTCGTGGGGGAGAAGAGCGGCCAGACATGCGACGAGACGGTGGAGATTGCTGCAAAATGGGGCTACCAGGTGCTCTTTACACCCCCGTACCATCCCGAGTTGCAGCCCATTGAACAAATCTTGGCTGCAATCAAGAAACCGATCGCCAGAAGCCTGTGCAGCACAATGGCCGAGCTGGAGCCGAAGATCTACCAAGGCATCAACGGCATCACACCGAAAACCTGGGTGAAGATGTACCGCCACATTCAGAACGTGGAGGAGGAGTACCTGGTGGCGGCGGAGCCGGAGAATGAGTCCAACTTCAAGATTGGCGCAGAGGGCGCGAACGAGTAAAATCAGATTCCAAAGTATCGATGCTTCATGAATATTGGATATAACATGTTGCAATCTATCGGTCCGTGGTCACCGAGCCCTATTTAGATCTGAGAAAAATATCGGAGGAGCAAAATCATTCGTCCAAATTGACGAGTCCCTGTTGTTTTCTCGGCTTTTTGTTTGCTTCAACAGCCCTTAACGGTCGAGGATTGATTCAGTTGGAGCAGGGATCGTGCTGATTCCAACGGTATTTTTTAGTACTGTATAACGCCAAATAAAGACTCATGGACGGCTGGCAGAACCTGTGTGTTAATCCAAGTGACCAGTGCTACAATACACATCGTGCTTTCAATATAACGTTCAAGACGTTTAGTGCGACTAGCCTTACTGTTTACACTGTTTACACCAGGGTGGGTGGTATCCTGGCCGAGAAGCAGCGCGAGCGCTCGGTGCACTTGCTGGTCGCCAATACCCGCGATTAGGCGGGGGCGTGTCTGCGCGAGCGAGTGAAATACGAGAAAGAGACAAAGAAAAACGAATTGTGTATTAGCTCCAGAGCAATGATTTTCGTATGTGCGACCCAACGCTGGCGTTATTGCCCGGCACCAGCCATGTCAGCCTGTCGGGGGCGACTCATCCACAGGTTCACTCAGGCCTGTTAGGGATGCGGCTTTTTGCGAAAGATAATCTGTTTGACCAACCAAAAGGCCCGAAGTTCGAACCAACTGAAGTGGCCACGGCGTAACCAAACCAATCTGCAGTCGGTTCAGAATTTGCGTAATCCCAGTAATAAAAAGATGAAAAAACTTTACAAGAAACAGGTAACTAATAACCGACGAAAATATGGTTCAAAAAGGTCGCGGAGTTTTCATTGAGCCTTATTTATTTATGGTTAACTTATCCAAAATAGGAAGGGGGGAGGGGGCATACTTCCTAATTCAAAGCAATAAATTCATTAGTGGATTTTAAGAGTCCTTGTAGCCTGAGCGAAGCCAAGGTATATAGTGATGTTAGGAAGTCGCTGCAGGACTGTCATGCTCCTACTTTTAAAGTAATGCTTAAAAGCAAATAGCGAACAATTTGTACGCTACTGATGCAGCACATCCTCGATTGTGCGGGGTTTAGGATATCAGGAAAATGTACTTGAAGAGAGTCCGACACTGCTCGATTTTAGGGAGGTGCGCATAACACAAAGTGCGCAATTTTCATTTTACTGACAAATATTACACCGTCCTTTATTTCATATTTTACGTTAATAACTATTAGCCCTGCAATTAGAGTATGGTAAAACGGCACACAATATATAAATAGAGTAATAAAATGAATTTGAGTGCGTCACGGAATTCCCAAAATATTGACTGCATAACAGATATACAGACTAGAGCGTGAGAACGAGACGCCTGATATATTCGGATTTACAAGGGAATAATATGTGGCAGACACCACTTTATGTGCTTTACATTGACTGTAATAATTGATTCAAACGGAATAGGCGGGTATTATGTATTAACCGTCTTGTTCTCACGCTCTAGTCTGTAGTCACACCTGAAGCAAACCAAACCAACCAAAGTGAGTTGTCTAACTCCGTTTTGCACTTCCAGTTGCAACGTTACTTGCTAGTAACGTTAGTTAAATAGCACTGTAGTGGGCCTACTTTGGCTCACTACTTTCGCTTACACGTGTGCGCGTGTATGTGAGGAAACGTAGCTTAGTTTAAATTAGAGTTAATTATACTCGGGCCTCCGAGTGTAGATTAATCTAAATAAACGATCAAAATAATGTTTTTGGGTTAAAATGAGAACTGCTATTTTTGTTTTATGTTTCTGACTTCCTCTAAATGTAATATTCTAAGATAGGAATCTGCCAACAGCTGGTTGGCAGAATTCCAATGCTATGCATGTCGCTCATTGGCTAAGAGATGCTGCTCTCAGCCAATAGGAATCCTAAGTCTCTATGGACCACCCGTCGTGGTGGTCGTAAATGTATGTAGCCTTTGGTGTGTCTACACCAAGGTCGAGAAAGTCTTTCGAACCTCTAACAGACGTCGTGTCTGTTAGAGTTACAAGTGACTGTAGCCACTTGTGCGTGTAACCCCGTTACACCATCCCCCCCTCAAGGTTAGACGCGCCGAGTCACGGCACGTCAATCAGGAAATTGACCATTCGTCAATTCTTCACGTTGGGAGAAAGAAAACTCGAGCTCATTCCGCAATGAGCTCGCCGCAGAAGAAGACCGCCGCCGCAACAGAGGGTAACCTCTCTGTTGCTCAGTACCATGAGCGCCAGCAGGCAAAGCGCGACGCGCTCGCTGCAAAGGCCGCGTCGGGGACAACCCAGTCGGAGATTGTCCTCAAAGGTTCCTCTGTAGTCAACGACGCCGTTGACTACGGGAGTGACGACGTAGAGATGGAAGATGGCGAGGCCTCTTCCAACAAGCGCAAGGAGTCTATCGACAGTGATAGTCTCGACCCGCATGCGGGGTCGAGACGCCCTCGTGAAGGAGACGATTCGGACGCTTCAAGCTCGAAGCGGTCGCGCGGCGAGAGCGAAACTCCGCTCTCCGCTGCTGGGGCTTTAAGCTCCCCGCGTGAGGTGGCGTCTTCAATTTCTCCGCGCGCTGCTCAGGCAGCGCGCGATCCGTGGATGCCGTCTGCGTCAGAGATCGCAGACCGTGTGGGCAACACTGTGCCTCCAAATGAAATTCCGCTGTACGTATGCAGCGGGATCCACGATGATGCTGTGGCGGAGGAGCAGCACTTTGATCCGTTAACGAATCAAAGGCGCGATTACTATATCGGACTCTTTCACGAGCTCCGATACTTCTCCAGCAAGAAGACCTCTTCTCGCAGCAAAGTGCCTGAGTGGCAGGCACTTTGTCAAAGTTGGAATGCTTTTGTTGAGAACTTCAACAAGAAGCTGGCTGCTTACTGTGAGCGGGTTAAGCACGCCCGTGAACGCTTCGAGACATTCTCGACGCGCGGGAGGTTGGAGCAGCTCCACAGATCTTCTGTGGACGCTGGTATTTCATGCGCTGTGCCCGAAGGCCAACAGTGCACGTTGTGTCTTCCGGGTGCGGCGCGCTTGAGCGACCGCGACCTAAACGGGTACACGACAATTCGTGTACCTGCGAGTCTCAAGGATCTCCGTGCCAAGTTCTTGGCACGTGAGGAACGCGACGATCGTGGGACCTCGGGCGCTGTAGGTGACCACAGCGCTCGCACTACCTTCGCGTCGGCAGTGCGTGGTGAGCTTCGTACGCCCTCACCATTTCCGGAACGTCCTGCAGCAGGACGTCCCGTGGCTCCCATGTATCTTGGTGGGGCGGAAACCCTCTCCAACGAATACGATAACGAACCGGCTGCCGGTTCGTTTTCGGGATACTATGGTTCACAATACGCTCAACAATCCAGCGTGTTGAGCCGCGGGCATCGCGGATCGGAGGCGGCGGTGGTGGGAACACGCCCCGGGTATGGTCAACCTGGGGTTGACCTTGGCCCGACGCTCGAGGAGCGGGTCGCTACTGTGGAGCAGCTTCAGAGCCGTGAGTTCGCCGCTCTGAAGCAGGAGATGGCGACCCTGAGAGCTCAAGTTGCTCAGGCCTCGCAGACCGCGTCGGACATCTCTGTCGACGTGGGAGGTCGCGTCGTGCGCTTGGCCCAGCGCGTTCACGCGCTGGAGCAGAGGTTCGCTCCCGCTGGGGCTTCCGCTTCGGGCCAGCCGAGCTAGGCGGCTCGTGCTGCCGGTATGGCTTCAGCCGCCCGACGTAAAAGGTCGGATGGAGGCGCATGCTAGATGGAATATCTAGCGTGTAGGCGTTGCCATGCCGTGCCAACACCGTGAACGGCCCGATGAAGCGCGGAGCGAGCTTGCTCGCCCCGAAGTCGGAAACTGCATGTTTAGGCAGGTTTTGAGTTGCTAACAAAACCAATGAACCCTTCTTGAATTCATTAGTGTTGCCCCTGCCAACGTTGTCTGCGTTCAGCTTCTGTCGGTCGACAGAAGCTGCAATAGCGTCTTGGACAAACCGAATGACGGCTTGTCTGCGCTGCACGAAGTTGATTGCGTCCGAGCTGAACTCGTTCAGCTCGTTTCTAGCAGTAGGCCCGGCCTCTGCGTTCGTCTTCGCGGTGTCTGTGCCCTGCACAGACCCGTTCTCCTTCTTCTTCTTGCTCTTGTCGGCGTCTGTGCCCTGCACAGACGCGTGCTTCTTCTTCTTGTTGCGCGTAGTCGCGGCTGACACTGTGCAAGTGTCAGCGGCATTCTGCGGCTGCTGCGTTGCAGTCGTAGATCCTCCTCCACTTAAGGAAGGAGCCACCATCCCGAGTAGACTCGGGAGGCGTGGGTGCCTGATGGCATTCACGTAGAACGGTGTATGCCCGGTCGAGGCATGCACCGAGTCGTTGATGGTGAACTCCGCCATCGGCAGGCACTCGCTCCAGTGTTGGAACGAGTGAGCGTACGTCTACGAGCACGCGGTTCACGCGCTCGGTCTGCCCGTCCGTCTGAGGATGGTCCGCAGTCGACATCGAAAGTTGACTCCCAAGAAGTGTAAACACTTCTTGTCAAAGGTGTGCAGTGAAGCGCGGGTCCCGATCCGACACAATGTCGATCGGCATGCCATGGTGGCTGAACACCATGTCAACGAACAGACGCACCGTCTGCTTCGCAGTCACTTCAGCGGGTACTGCAGCAAGATGTACCATCTTGCTGAAGCGGTCAACAAAGACCACAACGCCCGTGTTCCCCTGGCTGTCCGGGGGATGACCGAACACGAAGTCCAAAGACATGGACTGCCAGCACTCCCGTGGAGTTGGTAGTGACTGCAAGGGAGCCTGCGCGAAAGGCGCAGGCTTCACACGTTGACAAACCTCGCAAGCATGGACGTTCTTACGCACCCATTTATACTGGTGGGCCCAGTAGAAGTCTCGCGTGAGAAGAAGGTATGTCTTCTCACGGCCCGGATGCCCCGCAGTCGGTGCA